TGCTTGAAAAGAAAAGATGTACGATGATCTTTCATCTGGGCAAACTTGTCAAAACTTTTCTCTGAAAGTCACCAATCCATGAATGAATTCAAGGGCAGGCGAAGAAAGCAGAAGAGTGTTTTTAGCTACACTCACAGTTAGCCATGTTTTTCTCTTGAACCTCTCTGGACTGAAGGAGCAGTTTTTGTCCTTTCCACACTGAATGATGTTGAAATACTCTGGCTGGTGTGTCCCAAACATTTAATCTCTAATTTCTGCTCTAATGTCTGGTACCAAATGTAACTTTTATTTTCGACTTGACTCATTATACTGCCTTGCTATTATGAGTGGCTACCACAACTGATGACGAACTATGGCTAGCTACCTAACCAACTTAGATTATTCAAACCATGCAATACTAGCAAGCCAGCGCATTAAAAAAAAATAAAATAAAAATAAAAATTCTTGGCAAATGCTTAATAAAAAATGTATGATTTGTATGATTTTGCAGTTGATCCATGCACACTTTATGACCAAAATCATGGTTACCTATTTAACATCCAATTAAGAACACTCTTTTTCAAAAATTGAACTAAAAAGGCAGAGCACATAATGGATTTGAAGAAAGTCCTTTACAAATGTGGCCTCTGCAGTTGTGTACGCAACAGTTAAAGATATTAGAAGACATATTTGTCAAATTTAAACCTGATTTCATCAGGCTCTGAAAAATATTGGAAAAGAATGCCAAGAATGGCCTTCAAAGCTGTCATTGTTGCAACGCTTGCATAACACAAAGAATCATTATTAACGCTTGTCTACATATGAACTGTTTTAAAATCAGCACACAGCATGTAAACACTTACTCTAAAGACAAGACGGCTTCTTTTCAAAAATGAGCCTGAGTGGACTCGCACTCCATGCCAAGTTACATACACATCATTGACTGAAGCAGACAAAGAGTCAAAATAATGTTTCATTTAAAGAATTAATTTTTAAAGAAATATACCATCAGAAGACTTGCACTGAACAAAAGTGTCAAACAGCAACAAAGTGGAACAGTGTGAATTAAAAGTTTTCCCAAGGACGTTATCAATATGTGTTTTAAATACATTCTGAATACATTACTTTTTTATACATTCAATAATGTCATGAAATACATTGCTGAAACAGGAAGTCATAGCAGACCATGTAAGTGTTCCTAAATGCTCAAGTGAACACTGGAGGTACCATGGAATGAAAAACTGTATAAACAGTGGCGTAGATGAATAAGCAGAGCTCGGTACATGGACCTCACTTACTGTGAACCTCAAGAATCTTCTCCCTAAATGGAAATCCATACACAAAAGAGGGCAGTAAAATGGACAAATTCCAAAATCCTAAACAGTCACACAGTGTTATGTAACAGCCTTGACTCATTAATATTTACATCCCCAACATTTACATATAGCAGCCCACTTTCCAGTTCACCAGGTATTGTGAAGCATTTCACCCTTCCCAAAGAGCAAAACTCTAAATGGGCATGGCTGAGGTTTGTCTTTAAACATGGCTAAAGTTGGCTTCCTTTTTTGGCTTTTTAATCAAATGTTCCGTTCCACCTTAAATGCACAAGCTTGTACAGGAACCAGAATGTAACTGTGCCACCATTTAAGGTGGAATGAAAAATTCTTAAAACAAGCTGGCAAACAGGACACCAGTTTCAGCTCCCACATGTTTAACAGGACAACTTTAATTCTGAGTTATTAGATTTGCTCTGCATATTTCACTCCGGACAGTTTCAGACATTATTTTGCAGCTTCGCTCAGCATTTCACACTGAAGAGAGGGGAAGTTCCAACTTTGTTAGCATCACAACCCCAAGAGAAACCTGTGGGTAGCTAAGAATACTATACAATTTTAGCCACTCTTGAATGGTTGAAGCCAGATCACCTTCCATTGAAAGTTTTATAGTGAGCTAACAACTTTACTTTGTGTTGTTGCCAAGATTGATGGCAAGTAGCTAGTATACGTAACTAGCATAGCTGACTAAACAGCATGATAACCTAGCTTATTTACATAGAGGTTCATTTTATTTTCCTGCCTGTGTCTATTTGGACATGTTGCTTCTGTATGAGCCATCGTGGTGCCTCACGGTAAACCAGCAAATCTGAGCAGAACCCACCAAATCATTCTTTAGTTCCCCAAAAAGGGGAAAACACTTTGTTTCAGTCTAGGGCCGAATCATAGGGTTGTAAATGGGCGTGTAAAACCACATATGGGCATTTTTTGCCCTGACCAAAGTCACAAACCTTCTATTTAGACAGCTGAGAACAATTTAAAATACTGAATAAATGCATTCTATCACACTTAAAATGCAAAATATAACATAGAATATGAGTGGGAATATACTTTGGTTGGATTGGACTTTGTAGGGGTGCCAACAGTGGTGAAAAATAGATTTTTTTCATGATAAGATTTAGTTTGTTTTTTTTTCTTTTTTTTTTCCCAACCACTACACTTCTAATAAATATTAGATTTTATGTTCATATTTTGAATGAGGGACTCATTGTTTCTTACAAGGATAAGAAACAAATAATGTTTTTGCAGCTTGTTTTGCTCATGTTTACCAGGGGTGCCAATATTTTTGCAATGGACTGCATAGTCTATAAATCTGTTTTTCCTGTTTACCGTGTTAAGTTACATTCATATTGAAAAGTCTTGTTTGTTTTGTTTTTCTGTTGTCTTTATTTAATTATGATTGTAAAAAGATTTGAGAAATGAAAGAAATGAAAAGTAATCAAATTATAATTACTTTACTGGGCTATCACAGTCCTATGGATTAGGTTACAGATTACATCATTCATACTTAGATATCTATAGCAAAGTCCCTTTAAAGTAAGCCTCCCACAACTTTTCATAACTTGTCTATTTGACCTAAAATTTACTTCCAGAGGTAAAGCCATTTAAACCAAACCTCAAAAACAGTGTAACCCCGCTGTAATTTAATCAGCCTTAGTGATGTTCATTAATGATGTTACGTTCATAAAGTCCTAATTGAGAGCTGTTGTTTTTACCGTTTCACTGCCTGCCCTGAATCCACTTCACTCCCCATGTGAACAGCAAGAACCAACCAGTCACAGAGACAGACAATGTATGTTTGGCTCCTTAAAGGCAGAATGAGCAGGATTTATGAGTTACTGTTTAAGTTGGGCCCTCTGGCTCAGTGAGCAAATGAGAGAGAGAAAGAGAGAGAGATGGAGCAGTGTTAGTCTCTCTTCCTTTGGTTTGTTCAAAATCAAAGAGGTGTCCTTCAAAATGATTCACAGATATGAAACAGTAAATGTTTTACATCAAGATTTAACTCTCTTATTCTCCTGGGTATATTTTGGTTTTTCCATCTGATATTCCATGCCCAAATCGTAAGGCAAATTATTGAGTAACTCCATGAAATAAATGTCATTTTTTTTTTACACATAATGCTATATGCTTACAATTTACTGCTGAAAGCCATCTGAGATCCAGTTTGTAGCTCAGATTTGTGGAAAAATGGGTCAACTTTCAGTAGAAAAAAAAAAATTGTGAGTTCAGCTTCTTATTCTAAAGCTTTAAAATTACATTACCATCTATTTGCCTGGAAAGAAGACAGTTACAGCTCTCATACGACACACACCTTTTAAATGTAGCTTATGAAATATGAAAGTTATGAAGAATATGATACAGCACGTTTTGGAACCACCGGTGATTTGTTTTGGTATTGTTCATACATGTTCAAGATTTTTCTTTGTTCTTTGAAAATGTATTATTTGGATTCCATGAAATCTGCAAGCAAAACAAGGATCAGTGTTATTTTGTTCATTTATTAATGATTTTTCTTGCTAAATTCTACATTCACAAATGCAGATTCAGCAACAAGAGGGCTTTTTTCATAGTCTTCTTGGAATCCATACACTTTTGTCTTGGCAATTTGAAAATTTGAAGAACAAAAAGGCTATAAAAACTGACTGTAACACATACAAAGTCTTCACTTAATGCATATCGTCACTGTCCAAAGGAAAACAAGTGTCTCCAAAATAGTGACTTTACAGGAGATTGGAGAAGCATGTTCAATCCGAGCTTGTTAATTGTTATCTGCTGTGTTTAACCAGTTGGCTGAATAGCAAACGTTTTAACATGCCGTTTCAAGTGTTTTTAACTGCATTTGGTCAGAAAATGTATGAAAAATGCAGATGTATGTTAAAGAAATAGGCTACGTTTAATGGTATTTGGGTACTTTATTTTTTCATGCATGCCTGTTGGTTCAATGCGGCAAATACGCCCAAATATGGAATATGTTCAGGTTGGTTTTGGCACGAGGAGAGGAGAGCTAGACTGCAGCCAGCTCTAGCTTTAATTCTGTTTACTGATTCTCCAGCTAGACTGGCAGCAGACTGGTTCTTGACACTGATGGGGTACTAGAGAGAAGGGAATAGAGAGAGGAGGGCATATCTGTTCTTTACCTGACCTGGAACAGTTAAGCATACATTTTTTGCCCCTTTTTTGGGACCCAAATCACATTTAATTTTATAAATAAATAAATATCACACAATACTTTTTTATCAAGCAGACGTTTTAAAGAGGGGATATTTTGAACTGAAGCAATTTCTGAATAATAACTGTTTTGAGAATAAGCTAAAGTTTGTAAGGTTTATAAAACTCAGGGTTTGACGTGCACTGTTCCATATTTCTCCCTAAGCATTTAAATTTTTTTGCTCACGTTCCTGAAGGGTGAATTCATTAAATGGAATTTGTGAATTTATGTCTATTATTTTATTTTTTATTTCTTATACTCATATGTCATCTATTATTACTGCAAATTACCCAAAATTCTTCATTAGCAACACAGTGTAAGATATGCTTTCAGTCCAGTAAAAATGCAATTGCATTGGATAGATGTTGTGAGTTAAGCTGCTCCCAGACCTTAAATACATTTTCCACTTAATACAAGCTAATTATAGTCCTTCTATTTGAGCGGAATGTTTCATGCTTGGATGCAGTATAGGGGGCTGTTTCAGAGAACCTGTTATCCAAGCTGGAGAAGGAGGAGGAGTATACTGGAAGATAAAACGTAGAGCAGTACACAATCAGGTGGAACAGAAGAAGACAGGTAGAGCAGAAGAGTCACTGCATGAAGAGATGGTGAGGAAAATTGAAGAGAGGGGTCACTGGAAAAGTAAAAGAGAGTTCCTTCTGGCTGTGGCTGGGAATGTGGTGGGCATGGGGAATGTGTGGAGGTTCCCCTACCTCTGCTACAGGAATGGAGGAGGTAAGTGCATAAATACACACACAAATCAGGCATAACATTATGACCACCTCCTTGTTTCTACACTCATCCTCCATTTTATCAGCTCCACTTACTATATAGGTGCACTTTGTAGTTCTACAGTTACAGACTGTAGTCCATCTGTTTCTCTGCATACTTTGTAAGCCCACTTTTACCCTGTTCTTCAGTGGTCAGGACCCCCATGGACCCTCACAGAGCAGGTACTATTTGATTGGTGGATCATTCTCAGCCCTGCAGTAACACTGACGTGGTGGTGGTATGTTAGTGTGTGTTGTGCTGGTACGAGTGGATCAGACACAGCAGTGCTGCTGGAGTTTTTAAACACTGTGTCCACTCACAGGACGCTGTTGGCTGAATATTTTTGGTTGGTGGACTATTCTCAGTCCAGCAGTGACACTGAGGCATTTAAAAACTCCAGCAGCACTGCTGTGTCTGATCCACTCATACCAGCACAACACACACTAACACACCACCACCACGTCAGTGTTACTGCACTGCAATGATCCACCACCCAAATACCTGCTCTGTGAGGGTCCATGGGTTCCTGACTACTGAAGAACAGGGTAAAAGGGGGCTAACAAAGTATGCAGAGAAACAGATGGACTACAGTCTGTAACTGTAGAACTACAAAGTGCACCTATATAGTAAGTGGAGCTGATAAAATGGACAATGAGCGTAGAAATAAGGAGGTGGTCATAATGTTATGCCTGATCAGTGTATACAGCAGATTAGACTGGAGTAAATAGAGATATGTATCAAATAAAAGCTCTTGATTAGCTCTGTCTACTGCCAAAAGGACACAAGTGAATTTCTAATCAATTTACAGTTACTATTTAAAAACCAAAGGACTTACTTGATCATTCAGTGGTTTGGATGTAAACAATTCATTCAGTGGTACGGTGTGAAATGCACCTTTCTAGAGGAACTTACTGAGTCAAAATTGTTCATCATTATAGTACTGGGAAGCAGACGTCCAAAGAATTTAATGGCTCTAAAAGCTACATCCCATTAAGTTATTACACAATATGGTTATGATTGCATTTGCTTGATGCCTGAGACGTTGTTTTGTAATAGTTTTGTTATAAAGTTTTGGCCTAAAATGTATTTTTAGCATAACTATTACTCCAGGATCACCATGTTTCCTCTCAAAATCACATTCTCAGCTGAGATCAATGAGCACAAGCTAACGTGCCTTTGCTCTTACTAGCCTGTACAGCTGTTCAACATGGCTAACGCCAGCAGCAGCTTTTGTTTAGTTTATTTTTACAGTTTTCCTACCTATTTTCGGAAGACTGCAGAGTGTGTGGAGGACTTTGAGGAGGTCTGTTTCCAAAATTTCATAGATCCATATCAATTTGAACCAGAACACACAAAGCAGTTGCAGTGGTTTGAAGAAAAGGGAGCCAAAGGGGTGGAAGAGAGACTGAACCCGCCGGCGCCGAAGCAGGACAACCCAGGGCAAATGGAAAATGGTAGTGTCAGCAAACTACTGGCTACTCTGCCTACCAGTTTATGAGGTGGAATAGTGAGGTAGATAGTTATTTTATCGCCTGGCCTACTTTAGACAGTCTGTTGTAAGCTAACGGCTAACACTGATGTATGTACAGTGGCTAACGATGACTAATTTATTTCGCCCACAAGCGTTTCTTATCTTGATTCCAGTTTCTGTGGTGGAAAACACAACAGAGGGAACAGCAGTTTTCTTTAGGAGCTGCATTTGAAGAAATCCGCTCTGCATTTTTTCACTGGTCTTGAGTAACGTTGGTCTTCATCCAGTTTTAGTTCACTTTGTAGAGCTGTTAGACTTTGGTATTCATGCACTATTTATTTTGGCATCCTTGGTCCAGTGCAGTTCACCACCATTCTGAGCAGTTAACTAGCAAAGTGTAACTCATTAATCACCGCTCCTCTGATGAATAACGTTACTTACATAAGCTCTGAGTTTTGCTGACACCATGTGATGCAACACTGGCAACCCAAACAACACCAAATGAGTCCAGGGTGGAGAGGTACTTGCAGGGTGTTGTAAGAAAAAAAAATGTACCCAAAGAAAAAAATAAATAAATAATTTAGCACTATTTTACCATTATTAGCGTGACATATAAAAACTTTTAAGACACATGTTAGTTCACTGGTCATTTTGGATAGCAGAAAAAAATGTGATATTTGTAGTGTAAACATAAGGATATCTGGTTCCTAATACTATAATGGTGAACAATTTTGACTCAGTAAGTTTCTTTAGAAAGGTGAATTTCACACTAAACCACTCTGAAGGATTTTGTTTACATCTAAACCATTGAATAATTAAGTAACTTAGCAAAATCGGTGGAGTTTCCCCCCTTTAACACTGAACTCACGGAACCAGTTGGTGCCAAAAGGGCGTAAGTACAGCATGTCGTACAAAGGGATTGAGCTTAGCCACAGTGACCTTCTGGATTTCAAGTCCTTTTCACAACACATGACCTGAAACAAAACCAAATACACAGAGAAGAAGCAGTTCATTGGCAGAAAACCAAAGCCTGCGTTATGCAAAAGAAGATTCCAAAGGTGTTCAGTTCAGTTAGGAACTTGCTGACCAAGCATATGGAAGATGGAAAACAGAGAACCAAAAATTATTAAGTAATGAAACCTAAAATGTTACTCACATGTCTACCTGAGGTCACCACTGTGAAAAAAAGACTTACTTTCACTGCGTATGAATGGCAGTGTCCCTCACTCTTATGTGGACTACCAAGCTTTACAAGTCAGCCAGTCAGAGCAGCGTTGAAACATTCATGGTCTCTGTGAAATACATTGTTTTTGCTGTGCTGTTATATCCTCAGTATTCAGTAGCCTATTTTATATTCGCAATGTTCTGCTTTATATTCGTAATGAGTTATATATCAGTAAATTATTAGTTATTAAATGATATGATACATGCTATGATATGATGACATCATATTTTTATTAGTACAAAGACATCTGTAATATCTTCTTAGTCGACCATCTGGCCAAATGACTGGCATTTCCATTTTACCCAATTTCAAAAACATTCAGTGAACTAACTGGATATGAGGGCTTTTTCTGTGATATTGTATTCTATCACAATGGAATGTTATTTCTTGTTAATGTAATGCTTTGTCTTGTTGTCACCAGATGTTTCATGTTCAAAATGGAATGAAATATTGGTGCCAAAAAGGCATGTGTGACTTTTTTCAAAATTAAAAATGTGATCAATATTGCTTATTACAAATACTGCCATCCTTGTATGAATAAAATTTTGTTATTTAGGACTGAAATCAGTACACAAAATCCTCCTATAAAGTTGGTGAAATGTCACGCCCATTTTGATTCCAAGCCCTTGAGGTCTATTTACAATTTCTGTGTTACTTAAATCAAACTCCTTTCTTGGGCATTCACTCAAGGGACCTATAGTTCAGAGGTTCTAGACATACTAAGCAGCGTCTTGTTTACTAATACAAAATGCTGTGATTGTGATTCATTCAAATAAGGCCAAAGACATGATTGTCATGTCACTGGTGTGTTTTCAGGGGTGTTTCTGGTGCCCTATCTGGTGTTTGTGGTGACATGTGGAATACCCCTTTTCCTTCTGGAGACAGCTATGGGACAGTACACACAAGAGGGGGGCATCACATCCTGGCGTCGCATCTGCCCATTGGCGGAAGGTCAGTGATACTGGGTGATACTTCAGTTGAGTTTATTTTCAAATTGTGAAAATCCAAGAGGTTGAGTTTGCAGTGTTTTTGCATGTTGTGTAAAACACACATTATCAGGTATCGACAAGTTGTTTCTGACCCCGGGCAACCTTGTGCTTAGTAGGGCTGGACCCTGATGTTTGATTATTCTGATATTTGTTTGTTGGGTCATTTGCCCCTTAAATATGCCCCTAAAATATGATGTTAAATTTCATCAAACACAATATGTCCATCACTGTGCAAAAAAAAAAAAAAACTATAAATACATTGTTTAAGTGCTGTGCTATTCATTCATATTGACCTATCCTTGTTCATAGAGAACTGGGCCTTTCCTGGATATTTCCCTTCATACCCAAGCATGATTGTATCATAACATTTCACAAAGGTTCTACTCTTATATTGTCCTGTTACAACTTTTTTTGGATCGTTATAGGCATTGATTTCAGGAAGTGTATATGTTTACACTTGATAAGCTAAAACTTTACCTTCCTTGTTTTTTCTACTGCTTTAGTTTAAATGGAGGTGAAAGTAGATTTATGAATTACTTTTTGTTTTCATTTGAGTTTCATATACTGTCTAAACTTTTTTGGAATTTGGCTTGAATTCTGCAAAAATGTGGGTGCCTTTGGTGTTGTTGATTTTCTAAGTAAAAACTTGGGCACATGCTCTATAGGGAACACAGTTCTGCTCCATTCAATGCACATTTACTGATTACTTGCTCAGTTCAACATAAAACAGTCAAAAAATAAATAAATACATAAATAAATGGCCTGTGCAAAAGTTATGGCACATTTTATTATTATAGTTTTATTTTTCCCCAGTATGTTAAAAAATTGCATTACATTTGCATAAAATGCCATATTTACATTTGACTCATACATATACATATCGCTGTTGTTGGAAGAAAACCTCGCATCTCCAAAATGGTAACTTTACAGGAGAAGGAAAAAACCTACTTTACTTTTAATGTGAGTCAATGGAACGATTATAGAGATACGAGGTTTTCTTCCTATATATATATATATATATATATATATATATATATATATATATATATATATATATATATATATAGTTTTTAGAGGACTTCATTAATGTTTACAGGGTTTTATAGCCATGCAAATCCTGGAAAACTCTTGGAATATAGAAATTTGGTTTTCCAGGCCTTGAAAAGTCACAGAAAATAATAAGTGCTGGAAAAATCATGGAAGTTCCTTGACTTTTCTCCCATGCGGTTTGTCATTTTATCATATTTGAAGCACTAGATTGCAAAAAGCGCAGAGACCTGCATGACCAGCTTCTTCATGATGAGTCACATGCTACAGCTGCATTGAGTAGTAAAGTATTGCATTAAGTAAATGCTGCGATACAGATTTGATTTTGTAGCACACTTCGCTTTTTTAATTAATAAACTGATCTGAACTTTCTGAACAAAGCAGTACTTTCTTTTACTTCAAGGACAAAAAGTTTTTCCAGGTGTCGGGATGCCTGGAAGAGGAACTAATAGAATTAAATCAAATTTATGGCTTAAAATGTAAGGCTGAGTGCTATAGACTCTTCCCCATCTGCTCTCACCTCAGAACAGTCCTACTTTTGACCTATAGGTCTGGAGACCTTTGTGACTTACATTTAAGTGTGACATTGATGGAATTTCATGCTACCCTTTTTAAATGTACTTAGGAGACTTTTGGACCCAACCAGAGTAAATGCTGAATACAAATTAAATTATCACTTTTTGGAAATTCCTTTACCCCTCTCATAGACACACCGCTTTTCGTTCCCAAGAAGAGAAATACATCTGGCTCGAAAACATATAGAGAGGCCAAGATGGCACCACAGATGACCATTGGGTTGATAGACTAATGGAAGCCCACAAGACCCTCCTTAAGTGCATTTTTAGCCTTGTAAATATTGGGTCTGTTCAGAAACTACACTCCCAGAAATAAAGGTACTAAATCTGTTGTCACTGGGGTGGAACCCTCAAGGGTACATCTCAGTACCTTTAGTCAGGGAAGGAAGGTCCCTGAATTTAGCAATAAAGTGACATAAGTGACATAAGTGACATAAGGCACATACAGATTAAGTTCTGTGGGTATAAATAGTGCAATTATAAACAGTAGTGCAATTAGACTGAGCTACTATCAGAGCTCAGTATTGGGGAGTGCGGGTCAGGAACCTGTGTTTGTGTCCAAACTTTGTGTGTGTGGGGGGCAGAAGGCGGGGGGGGGAGTAGGGAGAGAGTTGAGCGTCCTGACAGCCTTGTGGATGAAGCTGTCCCCCAGTCTGCTAGTCCTGGCCCGGAGACTCTGCAGTCTCCTCCCTAATGGCAGCAGGCTGAAGAAGCTGTGTAGTGGGTGAGTGGGATCACCTGCCATGCAGAGGGTGAGACGGGAGCTGTACATCTCTTGGAGGGAGGGGAGGGAGGTGCCAACGATCTTCTCAGCTGCTCTCATGATGCACTGGAGTGTCTTGCGGCAGCACACGGTGCAGGCGCCATACCACACGGTGATGCAGCTGGTCAGGATGCTCTCGATGGTACCTCTGTAGAAGGTGCACATGATGGGGGCTGGGGCTCTGGCTCTTCTCAGTATGCAGAGGAAGTAGAGATTCCAAGTAACTTTATGTAACTTAATGTAATGTATGTAACTTTATGTAATGGGCTTAATTGAAATTATGTGAGATCTGTTAAAATGATTAAATTCAGTTCAAAGATTAATCTTTGTGCAAATCGTCTTATCTAACATTTAGAATAAATAGCTAGTAACTCCAGTTCTCGCAGACGAATTCCTCTCTCCAGTTCCAGTTTCATGCTCCAGATTTCAACTGTTTTTCATACTCACTTATTTTCAGGTTTTGATTGCTTTTTTCAAGCCCATAGCTTTAAACAGCTAGCATTTGCTAGAATGTTGTACCTGGTAGAGAAACTACTTTATATTTGAGTTGTTTTGACTGTCTGGTAACAATTGTGGCATGACCTCCATCTCAGTTTCATGGTTCCATCTCATAATAAGACCAAGTAAGTGAGAAAAATGTCATTAAGATTATAATACTTAGGGCTGGTTGAATTATGTGTCTATACTGTGAAAAATCTAAATAAGCCGTGCTTTTGACCTGTGCATAACTCCTCTGTCAGGTATTGGCTGTGCAGGCCAGCTGATCCAACTTTACAGCATGTGCTACATGATGATCTTGGCCTGGGCGCTGTTCTACCTGGTGTTCTCCTTCAGCTCCCAGCTGCCCTGGGCCAGCTGTGACAACACCTGGAACACAGGTATGTAACAACACTGAAATGAATTCAGGGACTTTACCTTGATAAATTTGTCAGTGATGATCATAGTTTAAATATTCTTTGAATCTTCTCAGGTTTAGATTGTCTTTTATGTTTCTACAATGTCCAAGAAGATGTGTAAACTGATATAGGTTTACATAAGTGGTGTTAATGCATTAATGTGATAAATTATTAACAGCATTAATTTGAAATGTCAGTAACACAATTTCCAAGTTTTACTCTTTAACCTTTAAACCTTCAGTAGTTCTGGCCGGAAGCCTGAAGCTCATGTGCTAGTGTGTCTGGCTCTGAATGGCTTTTGTATATAAAGTGGCAAGAAAAAGTGTTGAACCCTTCGACTTAAACCACTTTTCTGAAATAATTTATCATAAAATATGATCAAACATATTGTAATAAAGCTAAGAATACATAAACAATATGTCATGTCTTTATTGTGCACAACAATTAAACATTCACAGTTTTAGTGGAAAAAGTAAGCAAACCCTGGTAACTGGCCAAACCTCCTTTGGCAGCAATAACCTCAGGTAAGCTCTTCTGGTTGTGGCAGATCAGACCTGCACAACGTTTGAGGTTTTGGTTCATCATACTTCCTTACAGAACTGTTTCAGCTCAGCCATATTCGCTGGATGTCTGGTGTGAACTGCTCTATTGAGTTCATTCCACAGCATCTCTATTGGATTAAGGTCTGAGCTCTGACTGGGCCACCCCAAAAGCCATTCTGTAGCAGATTTACTTTGATGTTTAGGATTATTGTCCTTCTGCATCACCCTGCTTCTACTGAGCTTTAGCCAGCAGTCAGCCACCCTGAAAAGATCAAGTAGGATACCTTGGTAAATTTCAGAGTTTATTTTCCCTCAGTGGTGACAACTGGGTCAGGCCCAAAAGCAGCCCCAAATCATGATACTCCCTCCACCATGCTTTACTTTGGGGATGATGTTTTTATGTTGGTAGATAGTCCCCTATTTACACCATATATAGTGCTGTGTGTTCTTCCTTAATGGTTCAACTGTAGATTTTTCAGTCTACAAAACATTTTTGCAGTAGTGTTTGGGTCACCTCTGGGTCCTACCATGCCTTTTGAGATTCTTCACAGTGTAAAACTCCTTGTACTTTTTGATTATGCGTAGCACTGTGGCCACTGGCACTTTAATGCTTGGTTGTGACTTTATAGCTTTTCCTTGTCTTACGAGTAGCCACAATGCGCAACCGGAGGTCCTTACTAAGCTTATTGGTTTTAGCCATGACTTGCAATTGACAAGTAACTGACTAGAGAACTACTGCATCAGCTGTTCTCAAATTTAGGACCGGTGTCCAGCTTAGTTTGGAGGTTTCCCTACTCAAACACACCCACTAAACCTGGCAATTAACAGTGCAATCAGGTGTGCATAAGCAGGTAAAACGCCAAACTGTGCTGGCCCATTGTATGTTACCAGGACTGGAGTTGTGCACCTCTGTTCTAGTATATGGTAGAAATTACCAGGACCATTTGTAATGGTTTAGAAGCTTGCATTTTCTCAAAGATGTGTCAATTTCAAGGGGTATAAATAACTTTAGACATGTACATTTAGACAAAATTGTAAAATAATAATAATAATAATAATAATAATAATAATTAATAATTAACAATAATTCACTTGTTTGTCATTTCCAGCCAGAAGGAACTTATTGGTCTAATAGAAATTTGCAAACCAAAAGTTGGCATGGGTATGAATCATTTTTGGGCTTAACTGTTGTTCCTGTGGGTCTGCATAGTTCATCTTGCCACTAGCTTTTAAATGGCAAGATCCGTTGATGGTTCTCTTGATAAGTTATTTCCAGCTTCTTCCATGCCATGAATTAATTTATCACTAAAGTAACTCAAGTATGAAGAATCATTTACAAGCAAAATACAGCACAGACATCAGTATTATCAGTAACACTAGTACCGTAAGATGTATTTTACTACATTATGCGCAAAAATTTACTACATTAATTAATAAGGATTATTACATAATATGCATTTACATTATTACATAAAATGCAGTTTATTTCATTAGGAAACTTTATAACATTTGTATTGTTACATTATGAGATGCTATAGGTGATTCCAGTACATAGATGTGTGATTTTGTTCTTCCTCAGATCACTGTAATATTGTTGGACAGAACCTGACACTTAACTGGACAGAGCAAACCAACTCAACTTCAGCTGCTACTGAGTTCTGGGAGTAAGTAGGCCAGTGAATATATGCACCCACTCTCAGTGTAAGGGGAATGATGATCCCTGGTAAGATAAAAAGGTCCACAATATTAACCCAGCTCTTATTCTTTACCCACTGTACAGGCGCAGAGTCCTTTCTATCTCTAGAGGCATTGAAGATGTGGGCAAGCTCAACTGGGAGATTCTTCTCTGTCTCATTGCCGTCTGGATCGTTTGCTATTTTTGCATATGGAAAGGGGTGAAGTCCACTGGCAAGGTACGGGTGTGGTTGTGTGTGTTGGGGTAGGGGAGGAATGTCTATCAACACAGATTGTAAACTTTTGTTGTCAGCATTCCAGACAGGGTCGTCTGATAGCTGATGAGTTTCAAGCCAAATGAAGTTTAAACCCATAAAATCTCAAGGAAAAAAAAAACACTCAAAAAGTTTACATCAAAAACATTCCAAAATGATTTTAACTATAATACAGAAAAACACAGCAATTAACCCACATGACATCAATAATAAACATTAGCTGCTGATGTCTCGCCTTTTGTCATTTACAGATAAATAAGCCCGGCACTATTTTACTACTGCTACAAAGAATCAAAAGCTTTCTACTTAATTTTAGTATCCCTTTCAAACATCAAAGAAATGTCTGGACAGAGGACCTATGAACAATTTCAGTAAAGTAATTAAATTGATTTTTATGTGTGTCTTATTGCCATAACGTGCACAGCTTCCACCAACTCATCAACATTTAAGCGTTCTAACAATATAAAATATATAACAGGACCCAGGATGCCATGCAGTTGGAAAGGCACATGAATTACTAGCATAACTATTCCTCTTACATGTTTTTAAAACTTGCCTAACTTTATAGGCTACACTGATCACCTCAAGAGCCATTCCAATTTCCAGCTACAGCACAACTGTCATGCCCTTGGGCAGAACGACCTATCAATCAACTTCCCCAGATTGCTGATCACCAGCCACTCTCCTTTGCGTACACCTGATCCATTCCTCTTTATTTCTCAGGCTACAAATACACAGACTCTTGTTCTCCCTGCGAGGTATTGGCACTCACTGACAATTCAAGTTGTTTTATTTGTAGCCATTTTTCTCATTTTTGACTCTCTTTTTTTCAATCATGATCTTGATTCTGCCCCTTTTTTCTATGCTGGACTGGTCTATGTCCTGTTGGACATCTACAATTTTTTTTTTAGATTTTATTGAACTCTGCATTGTTTACTGATGTCTGAATGTTACAAGAACTGTGTACAGTGAACTAGATAAGGCTGTGTTTGGCTCGAATGCACATCCATTACATCTCTAATCAACTGGGTACTTTAACCACTGATATAGTTGATACAGATGGGCTGGGCAAACGCTCTTAGAAGGAGTGACTCAAATGTATATAAATTAAAGTTTTGGTGACTGATGTTAGGTCTATTTAAAACTGAACACTTTTGAAAAATTGCCAAAATAATGATAAACCAGCCAAAATTTTGTCCACCCACCAAAGCACTTCTTCCCCCCACAAAATCCAACCAAAATCCACCCAGTTTGTCAGGTAAATGCTCAGTCTGGCAGCGCTGATTCTGAGATGTCATATGGGCTGAACTAAAACTCTGCTAAATGATCTTGATACTTCATCTTTGTTTCTCAGGTGGTGTATTTCACAGCCACGTTCCCCTATGTGATGCTGCTGGTGTTGCTGATTCGTGGGATGACTCTACCTGGAGCTCTACAGGGAGTTGTGTTCTACCTTTATCCTGATCCTGAGCGACTGCTGGATCCACAGGTGCTGAACTTAAGCTGTCTGACCCGCACATGTAGCCCATTTATCACTGCAGACTCATCTAGACACTGGCAAACAATAAAGTGCTCATTAAAAATCTCAACAAGTTCTGTTTTCCCAGGTGCAGTTTTAGACTCTATCATTTAGAACTTCATCAAAGACCACAGCAGAGCCCCATAAAATAACCCTTGAAAGATGGTTTATTTTACTTTCAACACATGCTAGGACTGGTAGTGTTATCACATGGTATACATGGGGTATGGGGTAAAATTGCAAAAGGTCAAACATGGAAACTATAACTTACGAACTAAAGATGAAATGAAAAGAATGAAGTAGTGAAGGCTGTTTATATATCAGCAATGAGGTGAATTGGCATCTCAGGGAGCCAAAAGCAACAGCTGCTCCTAGTTCTCAACTGCTTTTTTTGCTTTCTTTGCTGGAACAAAACCTTTCTTAGCAGAGTGGTCTGTATCTGGATTTTGCCAGGAAGATACAGCTTTCTCTTTTCTATAGTCCATTTTTCTAGATGTAGCCCAAGCAGGATATAAAAGTATTGTAAAACAGGTACATTTATGATGTTCCAGGAGTCAGTTCAGGACCTTCCTTACATACTGGGTGTGTCCATCTACCAGTTGTGACTAAAAACATGAAATATGTGGCAAGAGTGTTTTTTACACTGGTAGCATGCCAGACTAGAGGAGTAATAGCCACATGCTCACATTTTATGTAGCAGTTTAAGATGAAATGTGGCTAGGTTTTCCTGACTGTGATGATGTAAGCTGCTTCTTACACATCAAAGTAAAGACTGATTGTATATACTTACCTATACACCGATCAGGCATAACATTATGACCTTGTTTCTACGCTCATTGTCCATTTTATCAGCTCCACTTACTACATAGGTGCACTTTGTAGTTCTACAGTTACAGACTGTAGTCCATCTGTTTCTCTGCATACTTTGTTAGCCCCCTTTTACCCTGTTCTTCAGTGGTCAGGACCCCATGGACCCTCACAGAGCAGGTACTATTTGGGTGGTGGATCATTCTCAGCACAGTCAGTACGTCAGCGGTTGTAGCCTGGCTTTGGGTCACCTCAACTCCAACGTGCTGTATTCACACTCCGTTGCCTTAATAAATTTATTTAACACCCTTTCTCATGGGTTTTCCTCTTTGCACTTGGGTCCGCCTCCCTGCCATCCCGTAACAATAGCATGCAGCTGTGAAAAAACTTTAGCAGACACCTTTTTAAATTTCCCTGTGGTGTTTTTTTGTAGGTGTGGATGGAGGCAGCTGCTCAGGTCTTCTTCTCATACAGTATATGTGTGGGTGTACTGAATGTGTTGGGCAGCTACAACACATACAACAATAACTGCTACAGGTACCTTGTTCCAAAGATGTGTGAAGTATTATGAATATCTCTATATAAGTAAGTGCAAAACAAACAATCAATAAAGACATTTTGAGTCATTAGATTCAAAATGGTAAAATCTCAGATCATTTAACTGCCAGTGACCCTGTGGACAGTAAAACTTGTCAAACTTAGAGAGAAAGAGGGGAAGCAAGAGTCTTACTTGGCACTGTAACCTGTGTGTGTTGGTGTGGCTTTAGGGATTGCTTCATGCTGTGTCTGCTGAATAGCTGTACCAGTCTGGTGGCAGGCTTTGCCGTGTTCTCAGTTTTGGGTTTCATGGCTCATGAACATGGAAGACCTATAGAGGAGGTGGCAGAATCAGGTACTGTAGCATATGCACAACATAAAACATAAAACAGCTATGTACTATTTTTGAGTTTATTTATATTTTACGACAATGAGCTTCAAAGTGCCTTCTATGGTATGAAGAGTTTTGCCTAAATAATAATTTTCCAGTTTTTAGTGCTGAGTGTTGGAGTGCTGACATCACAACACCTATATCAATTATGATACATTATGATTACCAAAATAATGTTTTTTGTCAGTTGATCCTTTCATTTTGTAGTTTTCTGAAGAAAAATGGAAAGATCTAAACAGCTAAAAATATTCAGACATTGACAAAGTTATTTTAGCTGCCTAGCACAATATTTTGCAATTGAAATTAAAGAATTATTATGAGCTCAATATTTACTGCAGCTATCTTTAGTTTCTGCTTGTTCTTAGGGCGTTTTACCTTCAGTTTTGCCTTCAGCAAGTGGAAATGCATGCCTGATCGGATTGAGATCAGGTAATTGACCTGGTCATTGCAGAAAATTCCGCATCTTTGCCACATGAAATTCTTGGACTGTTTTTGCAATTAAATGAATTATTAAAAAGTGAGGAGATAATATAGCCCTGTACACGTCAGAATTCATCATGCTGCTTTTGTCAACAGTCACATCATCAATAAATACAAGGAAACCAGTGCAATTGTTAGCCATACACGCCCAAGTCATGATACTACCTCCACCATGCTTTGTAGAGGGTGTGGTATGCTTTTTAACATGAGCAGTTCCTTCTCTTCTCCATACTCTTCCTTTACCATCATTCTATTTGTTCTAGAACTGTACAGACTTTTTTCATTTTTTGGGCTCTGCCAAACTCTAATCTGGTCTTCTTGTTTTTAAAGCTTACCAGTGATTTACATCTTGTAGTAAACCCTCTATATTTTCTCTGGTTTTCTCTATGCCTACGTTCTGGTCGGTGTTCTTGATCTGGCCAAATGTTTTGAATGGTTTTCATTATCAAGGAAATAATTATTATTATTATATTAATTTGGTTTTGTGGTCTTTTGCCTTTCAGTGTGTTCTTTCTTTTTTTAAATATTGCCTATGTTATTTTTAAGAATGTAGCCAATAGTTGTTTGGCTACAACTAATGTTTTTTTCTTTATTGTTGTTGGATTGGCTAAATTTGGCTTGCTTCACTGGCAGGGCCAGCGCTTTGGACTTCTTTTTAAGAATTAATGGTAACAAATTTTACATGCAAATACCATACTTACAACCAAATTCAGTTTTTTTATCTGCCCACTTGTAAGTGAAATAATAAGAGAATAACACACAAATTTACTTCTGGTCGGTGTTCTTGATCTGGTCAAATGTTTTGAATGGTTTTCATCATCAAGGAAATAATTATTTTGTTATTTTTTTATTAATTTGGTTTTGTATTTATTGATAACCATGACAAAAAAAATCTGAGCAATAATAATAATAATAATGCTTTTGTATCTTCCAGGACCTGGTCTAGCTTTCATAGCTTATCCACAGGCAGTGGCTATGATACCTCTGCCTCAGCTTTGGGCCGTATGCTTCTTCTTTATGGTCATCCTCCTGTGCGTGGACACACAGGTGCACAGACTCATCCACAAATAGACCTAAACTTATACTTATTCATTATCTGGTGCACATTCTAATGTGTTGTGCTATATTTTATGGCAGTTTGTCGCAATCGAAGGGATCATTACTTCAGTGACAGACGTGTTCCCTCGTGTGCTGCGTGGGGCTGGACGCAGAGAACTCTTCCTCCTCGTCTTCTGCCTCTTCTGCTTCTTCAGCCAACTCATCATAGTCACAGAGGTCAGAGAAAGTGTAAAGTGAAATAAGAGGAAAGGGCAAAAATTTGTGTAGTTTGAATAATTCATCAGATGAGGAGAGCATTAGATTTTTTTTTTCTCTAGTTTAGGAAAACTATATAGTCAAAAGTATGTAGGCACCCTTCCTTATTATTACATTCAGGCATTTGAACCATCCCCATTGCTAGCAGGTGTATAAAATCAAGCACATAGCCATGCAGTCTCTGTAGACAAACATTAGCAGTAGAATGGGTCGTACTGAGGAGCTCAATGGCTTTAAACATGGCTCTGTGACTTTTTCTATGCCAGTTTGTGAAATGTATGCCTTGCCAGGTCTGCCCTTGTCTACTGTAAGTGTGATTATTGTGAAATGGAAGCCTCTAGGAGTAACTCAGCACAACGCGCTAGATCCCACAAACTCACATACCACCACTGTAGTGCATAACGCATAACAATTGCCTATCCTCAATTCCATCACTCAATTCAGAGTTCTGACCTAAAATCACTATGCGCAATGCCAAGTGTTGGCTGGAGTGGTGTAAAACACGCTGCCACCGGACTATGGAGCAGCGGAAACGTTCTCTGGAGTGATGAATCAGCTTCACTATCCAGCAGTCTGATTGAATGAATCTGGGTTTGGTGGATGCCAAGAGAACGCTGCCTACAGGAACGCATAGAACCAAGAGTAAAGTTTGGTGGAGGAGGGATAATGATCCGGGGCTGTTTTTTAGGATTCATTCTTGGCCCTTTAGTTCTGGTGAAGGGTGATGTTAATGCAACATCATACAAAGACATATAAGGCAATTATATGCTTCCAAAATTGTGGCAACAGTTTGGGAAAGACCCTTTCCTGTCCCACAGACACGCTTGAAAATACTGTGGAAAGCCCACCCAGAAGAATGGCAGCTGTTATAGCTGCCAACAGGGGCCAACTTCATATTTTTCCTTATTGTTTTCGAATGAGGTGTTCAGTTAGCTCATTTAGATGTAATGGTCAGGTGACCACATACATTCGGATCTACACCGATCAGTTCTCAACTGCTTTTTTTGCTTTCTTTTCTCTAGTCCATTTTTCTAGATGTAGCCCAAGCAGGATATAAAAGTATGGTAAAACAGGTACATTTATGATGTTCCAGGAGTCAGTTCAGGACCTTCCCTACATACTGGGTGTGTCCATCTACCAGTTGTGACTAAAAACATGAAATATGTGATAAGAGTCTTTTTTACACTGGTAGCATGCCAGACTAGAGGAGTAATAGCCACGTGCTCACATTTTATGTACCAGTTTAAGACGAAATGTGGCTAGCTCAAACAATGTTGAAAGAGTGGTGCTGTAGATATAAGGTTTTCCTGACTGTGATGATGTAAGCCGCTCCTTACACATCAAAGCAAAGACTGATTATATACACTTACCTATACACTGATCAGACGTAACATTATGACCACCTCCTTGTTTCTACACTCATTGTCCATTTTATCAGCTCCACTTACTATATAGGTGCACTTTGTAGTTCTACAATTACAGACTGTAGTCCATCTGTTTCTCTGCATACTTTGTTAGCCCCCTTTTACCCTGTTCTTCAGTGGTCAGGAACCCCATGGACCCTCACAGAGCAGGTACTATTTGGGTGGTGGATCATTCTCAGCACAGTCAGTACGGCTATTTTGGCCATTTTCGAACACTGTTGATCTTGCCTTTACAGACCACATCAAAAAACAGTTTATCATGCCAATGTTTGGTATCTTTTTTCCCAATGTGATCTTTTTACCTGTATGACCTGACAAACACATAAATCTGATTTTAAAATATATATATTTTTTACTATAAAAACACAAACATGCTCAATGAAGTATTTTAAAGATTGAAAATGTAAACACAGGTTGCAGAATGTGAACATATAATGGTAAAATTGAGATGAAATTAATCTATATACAGTTATTTACAACAAAAAAAAATGTATCTCTTCAAAACAAATCAACAAAGACAGGAGGCTACATTAGAGGACTGCATTTCCATAGTGTGAGGTTCCTTTTTTGGTCCACTTGGTGGCAGTGTTGGCAGATCCTGCAACGTAGTTTGGCTTACTCATTGGCATCTGAAAGTATGGCAAAGGTGCCAGCCCCGTCCCATTTTGCATACTATACACACACACACACGCACACACACACACACACACACACACACACACACACATAAATATGATTTTTATATCAAATTTAAATGGTCATATCTCAGTTTATTCTTGGTCTATCAACACCAAATAAAAACTAGTATAGTGTTTAAAGTCAGCACTTTCAAAAGAAGTTGACTGCAGTCCTCAACATGACTTTCTTTTTAATCTGAGAAGTTTTGAACCAGCTATGTGTTTTTAACACGCCAGCATTAATGGTGACTTCAGGGTGTTAATGTCCAAATTTTGCTTCTTCAGCTTAGAACTGGTGTTGCTGGGCTAACAGCACAAACAAACACTGGAAAACAATAGTCACTGAAAGCATTTCCACAAATACATCCCAAAATCTTGATATATTTGATCCAAATACACTGATAAGTTACAGGGAATTTTTTTTAAAATGACAGATTTACAAATTTACAATGAACTGAAACTATGTTATCATCTGCATAATATCATGCTTTCTGGTACTATTATGCCTTTAAATATTGTGAGGCTGGAGGGCAGCAGTGTGTTGTACAAAGTCTCTATGCAGATATGTAGTGTTAGCACAGCTGTATCCCAGGTTTGTTACCATAAGAGAGTTGAAAGAGGCATATTGAACGATAAACCTACAAAAACGAGGAGCAGAGACACTCTACCTCAGTCGACATCACCTGGCCCTTACCACAAATACAACTACAGGTTAGTGTTATACAAGGACTTGTAAGTGGGTCCGGGGAGTCACTGATGGGTCAAGGGAATCACTAGTGGGTCCAGCATCCAAATAATGCTTTTCTTCCTGTGTACATTCAAGTCCAAACACATATGGTTAAGGCTCATTTCTGCAGAAAATTTGGCCCTCAAATTCATGATCAGACATTGTATTGATTTGAGTACACTCAGTTTGTTTCTCTAAATAAGTTACCCTGCTGTCCTTTAGCACTGTCTTTAGAAGTGATTTCCGTTTTCCAAAATAACTGGCCCTTCTTTTAGGTAGTTTAGTTTTTATAATTCAGAGTTAGTAATTCTGTGTTCTAAACCACCTGCCTGCACCTCCTGAATTAGGATCTGGACATGGTTTGAGCTGGTTGTCCTGTACCTGTATTTATGGAAGCAGTTTGGGTGACTATTGACTTCTAGTGTTTGTTAGTAGTGCTAGCCTAGCGGTTCCAGTTCTAAACTAAAGAAGCAAATTTGGGTATCAAACATGGCTGATTGACTGCATTTTGGGGTGAGTGGAAAATTCTTTTAAAACACATGGCTACCTAAGGTCAGTAAGCCTTTGGAAGAACAGTGAGAGCTTGTACTGCAAGAAATATGGTTGGGAAATAATATTGAGGCTCTGTTAGCTACACAAATTTCAACATTTGCAGCATTTCTGTTTGATTTGCAGCAGTTATTGTAAAGGGTCAGCCTTTGCTGCCGGCTGCCAGCAGAGGGCGACGGCTGCGAGGCACTGTTAATCCGGGAGACTCAAAATCCCAGAATACCATGGGGTAATCAGTGCCCACCAGGCACACCTGTTGGTCCCACCATTTAAGGCTGTGGCAGACAGCTCACCCTCATCACACCTTTGTAGAGGGGTGACCGGTACAGAACTTAGCTCAGGTGGGTGGTTAGACAAAAAGAAAGAGAAAATAGTCAAACAAGGAGGGGAAATCAGATCACTGCTCTAGGTCAGTTGACTGAGAAGAAAGAGAAAAGGGAAAGAAGAAAAAATAAAACATTGTGTTGATTCAAAACAGGGGAAAAAAAAGAAAAAAAGAGGGATTTGGTCATTTTTTCGGTTTCTTGAATTTATCCTTTGTTTGTTTTGCGCCAATTGCAGCATTTTCTTTGTTTGATTTTCCCGTCTTTTCCCCCACCATTCAGAGGGGTGTTATTGAGAAGGGTCTGGCTGCCGACCTGCAGTACAGCATTTTCAGCCCTGCACTCTCAGCCCCGCAGTCTCAGCTCCGGATATGATGTCATGTAAAAGGTCAAGAGGTTTGCCATTTGTAACATGGAGAGTGCGGTAGATGTGCCTACAGATGTCTATTACTGCATAATGTTAAAACCCTCAGATACTATGTGATTATGGAGTAACATGGCGGTATTTACTAAAATCACTTACATAGTACATTTTGTCAGACAATTTAAATTTAAAAAAGCTAACAAGATGCTATTTAACCCCAGGTAGCCAAACACGAGAATGTTTAATCCATATATGCGCAGTAGATTTTATTATATTTTACATTTCCTTAGCTATTTTTATTCCTTATTATTGTTCTTCGTATTTCGCCTAAAAATGTTACTTTTCCATAAGTTGTAAATATTTAATAAGAAAATTATGTTCTGTGGATCCCACTTTTTTTCAACAGATCCACATTACCATTTTCATTACACCTTAGACAAGGCTGTTTAATCTTTTACAGATTCAATCAGAACCATTTCACCAAAAGCTATTTATGCATGAAATAGTTCTATGTAGAAACTTATAGTTCTAAACAGAAACATTTTTTTTACTAAAGTCTATGGGTTCAAACTCCAGTGAAATACACCAACTGATATATAACAGCAAGCTAATAAAGAGCTATTTCACAACCTCAGTATCTCTTTATCTGTCACAAAAACAACTTGAACACGCACAATGCACTTTGGTGCTAAAAAAGAAATGCTACTTTTTTTGTAAGGAGCTGATAGCGCAGGTCTGAAAGTGTGGTACTGTGGGTCTGCAGCTGGATACTACTGGTGTTATTCCACTTGTCACCTGTGCTCCCCGGTGGCACAGTGGTAGGGTGCTGGGTTTGCAAAGCCAGGGTTGCTCCCCTCCAACAATACACAACACTCTCTGTCCCTGAATCATTGTTTATTGCACGCTGTCACACTATAAAACTACCACAAAAGTGAATAACTCATTATTTTTACTTAACAATTTTAAGACCAGTGCACTCCCAGACTGTCCTGTGACACTTATGATATCAGAAATGCTGTAAGTTGTTGATTTTCTGGTGATTTTAAACTATCACTGTGCAGATCACCCAATTTCAGTCTGTTTAGACTCAGATTGATCTGTGAATGCAGTGTAGTATGGACATGTTAAATGCTCTCAGAAACAGCCTAAAATCAGGAGCTCCATATACATGTCCAACATGTCTTGGTGAACATGAATCAGTCATAAATCATAATCAGTATAATCAAAGATTGTGTAGTGTCTCTGATTAAAAAAAGTTTTTTTTTTTAAAAGCTCAATGAGGAATAATTGCCTGTTTTCAGTTACATTTTTCCAATTGTAATTCAGTGTTGTATCTTACAGGGGGGAATGTACTGGTTTCAGCTGTTTGACTACTATGCCTGTAGTGGATCCTGCGTCCTGTTCCTGGCAATATTTGAGTCTCTGGCCATTGGCTGGATCTTCGGTGGGTCACACACCAATTCCAGACAGATATTATATGACATGTATGCTCTCCTCAAAGGCAGATACACTCATTGCCGGACATCTTGGAGAAAAAACAGACTGCTAGAGTGCTTTTAGTTTAACCTTCACACATGTAGAAGTAGAAAAAAAGGGGATTATAACTTGGGTTTTCTTCCTCAGGGGCTGACCGACTGTGTGACGCCATTGAAGATATGACAGGGTTTTACCCTAACTTCATCTTTAGGCTCTGTTGGAAATACCTCACACCTTTCATTTCCCTGGTAAGCATCCAACAAAAACACATTTTATAACAGCTGTTATAACAGCATGTCATTTCAGAACAGACAGTATAACCAGACGTTATAAATAGAGAATCAGGGGGTTCAAATGAAGTGAGAATAAGTAAGAGTTCAAACAGCCATAGAAAGTATTTAACTCTAAGAATATTTGGTAATGTTTTCTTTTTCAGTCCCCATAGTTCTAAGTGTTCACTAGATATGTGTAAGGTACTAGCTAATTATTTGGTTAACATGATGGTAAGTCAAAATGCCAAAAATGTTCTAGATATTAACTGAGTAAGTACAGGGTACAACTTCCAAAGTGCTGTGGATTTATTTGGAGGTAAGTTCCAAGACAGTTTAACAAAGTTAGACTGAAATGCCAAACAGGTTGTAGATATTAAATGAATAAAGTACATAAAATATCTCTAAGTATTTAGACTAACAAGCTAAGTAAAAACATGCATTAAATTCAACATAATGTCAGGAAAGTAATTCATAAACACTTCCAAGGACTGGATAAGACATATATGACAAATATATATGAAGTAAATGATAAATGGCCATTAAAACTAAAGCACGAACTGTTTTTACAGCCCAGATTAAGTTTCAGTTGTAATAAACAAGTAATAAATGGGTACACAGAACATAAGACTTATGTATCTGTCATGTAACTACCCAGTACTTTTTACCCACATTTATACAGTTAATACCTAAAACCTGTTAGCCATTTCAGTGGCACTTTACTTAAAGGGTGCCTACATAACACATTCATAACATCTTACATAAACACCTTATAACATGTTCATGAATGTTTAAATCACTCATAAAGTACACATGTTTTACATGACATTAATATGGACTACTATGATATTTTACTGATGGACCTGATTTCAAACGAAAGACCCCTTTTTTATTTTGGAAATCTGCATTACTTTTAGTAAAATGCCTCATTTCTGGACAGCCGAAATAAAAAAAAAAGGGTTGAATCAACAGGGCAGCATTGCTGTGTCTGATCCACTCGCACCAGTGCACCACCACCATGTCTGTCACTGCAGTGCTGAGAATGATCCACCACCCAAATAGTACCTACCCTGTGGGAGTCCTGTGGGGGTCCTGACCTGTTAAAGAAAGGATTAATAATAGTGGGCACACATGTTGCCTCCAACATATTGTGACACAGTTCTGTAGCCATGCAAAGTGAGGTCTGGTTATGTTGTGAGTTATCCAGGACCCCAGGGCACCGTCTACCTGTGAAGCACTCAGCTTATACCCCAAGTTGGCTGGATGGTGTTAAAGACATTTGGAAATTCAAACGAGCATGAATCAATTCTCATCTTCTCCACCGACCAATCACAAGCATAAGCACAATGAAACATTGCCTCCTTAACTGAGCTACCTGCAGTCTCATTTCTCTCTCTATTTTGAGGTCATGTTCATATATTCGTTGGTGAATTTCGAACTTCTGACGTTCAACCGCTGGTACGTGTATCCAGACTGGGCATATGGGCTGGGCTGGCTGCTGGCTCTCTCCTCCATCATGATAGTGCCTGGCTTGGCACTGGGCCGCCTGTGGACAGCAAAAGGGAGCCTCAAACAGGTGAGGATGGACCCACAAAAGAGTAGATATTAACAAAATTGGTAATATAAAGCCAAAGAGCACGTTCAATTGTACAATTTTAAATCTAAAAAAGGTCTGAAACAGTTTCTGTTCTTTATTGAAAGGAGTACAAAGCAGAGCAGACCAGAAAGTATTTGTGTAATATTGTGATACACAATAAAGAATAACACAGATTTACTCTGTACAGCGCTGGCTTCACCTTTGCAGCCCTGACACGAACCTCCCTCAGACACGAAAACAGACAGCCAGGACACAAGAAGTGACCTCATCTGCAGAGGTGGAGAACTTGGTCCACACTGAAAGAAATCTAAAGTATAAATAAATGTAATATAAATATAAATGCACCAAGAAACAATGACCAATCTACTAATGACCAATCAGTTACTCTATTTTTTGTATTTAAACCACCAGGAATTTCCCATAACACACACACAGCTGGAATCCAATATGGGGGATCTCCTTGAATGACATTACCTCCGATCTGTCATTAAAAGGACACATGCTCTTCATCCTGACTTCTTTGTTTATGACCAGTTGCTATAGATTGTATGCTTGTATGCTACTGTATGCTATAGATTGCTATACTGAAGCTAGCACAGGGAAAATTGTATACAGTAATTAACAAAAATTAATAAACTAAGCAAAGCGATCTCTACTAACTCTCTTCCCTCCAACATATTCTGTGTAGAACAGTTTGGACATTTTTAAATATGTGTATGGATTGTATCCAATAACCTCCTCATTCCAAAAGTACTGGATATTTTTTTCCCTAAATATTTTAGCTCTACTGAAGCAGGTATGTCATCACACTCACTCTTATGTGTTTACAGACCTCAGTCTTTGTATTGGTTGAACCTGGAATGCTTTCTTTTTTATCTTGTCAAACAAAAACAAACATGGCAGCTGGTGAGACAGATGTTCATTACCTCCAAGACTAAATGAAACGCTGTTTCCTAATGATCCTGTATTGATTTAGGAAATGTTTTTATATGTATATCTTTCTAGAAGGTCCTTCCTGTGAAAGCTGAAAAAGAAACAGTAGACATTTACATCTACATGTACAAATTTAGAGAACAATTCAAATGTCCCGGATTCTGGAACTCGGCTGGATCATTTGAACTTGGTGTAGTAAATGCTTATGCTTTGATTAGTACAACAGGCTCATGCTATACAAAATGCAATCATTCAAGATTTTTGTTTTTGTTAAAAGTAGAAACTAATGTGTATTCAGGAGTGATGGTAGATGATGTTCTGTGAATGTAGGCATAATATTTTTAGAGATTTCAATGGATTTCACTGTCCAGTGTACTGGACACAGGGGCTAGGCATATAAAATCTGCAAGATTTTGAAAAATCAATATATTTATGATTGTTAGGAAAACAGACTCAAAACAAAAAAACTGTCTACTGCACTGGGTTAACAAAAAATATATGCAATGTGTAATTATATATAAAGTCATGCAATCTGTAACTTAGCTTTTGTAATGATTTCTTACTTTTTCTCATGAATGACCTTGATTGTTTTAACCATTTGTTCATTTTAGATATAGTAATGTAAAACAATACATCACTGTTGTCTGAAGAAAACCTCGTATCTCCAAAATGGAGAAGGAAAAAGAACTACTTTACTGTTAATGTAAGTCAATGGAACCAGACTTTTTTCCAAGTCATTTCTTTTAGTCCATTCATCATGAAATTTACATACAATGTAAAGGACGAGGTATTTTCAAATTATGTCAAACCTGAAAAATTTCAAAAATGGAGATGGTTTTCTTCCGACAACAGCGATATATGCTTTGAGTTCAAAAGCTCTTTGTTTATTATGATCTAAAAATTATCCAGAAAATTGTTCCATTTGTTAGAAACCATTCATGCAAAACTCCAGGTGGTTCTAAGAGTTTAAAAACTTTTATAAACTGTACATACAGTAAGCACCGAAAAAGTTCAGTGCTTGCTTTGTGTGTTTTTTTGTGTTTTGTAGATAATAAATGTTTATCAAGAACTCACATTCTGTCCAGCATTTTTTCTGCAAACACATGATCTAACAATTTTTTTAAAGCGAAAATAATTTGTCTGCACACATTTTAAAGATGTTTGTTACTCTACTAAATATTGATATGTGAGGTTTGAATTATTTGAACCTTTTACACTGAGAGGAATTATCACAAAAAATTGTAACAGTTTTATACAGAAGACCTGAAAAGTAAGGTAAAAAAATGTTTTTTGAAAGTGTGTTCCTGAGTCAACATTCCACATCATGTTTTTTCCTGCTATTGCAACACACTAAAACACCTGGAAAATAAATATTCCAACATCAGTTTTACTATTTCAGCCATCAAAAACCTCATCCCAAGAGAGGAGGATCTTTATGCCCCTTTTAATAAAGAATTTGGAGAGAAGTGCTATTTGCTATGTGACTGACTGATACTTAGCTAGTAAGTAGTATTTAGCAGATACAGCCAAGCTGCCCAACAACAGAGTGGTAAAATGCTATTATAACTATAGGTAACTTTGTCCCAAAAGTATGGCTGGACAGTGACATGTGCACTTGGTGTTTCCAGTGTAGACATCCTGAGGGCTTTGCAACGAAATGCAATAGTATATTTGAACACTCACTTACTGTTAGGATGCAGTGTGTTGTTGTGGAATGTACAACCCCATTTCCAAAAAAGCTGGGACACTGTGCAGAATGTAAATGAAAATAGAACACAATGATATGCAAATCATGTAAACAATATTTTTAAAGGAAAATACTACAAAGACAACATACCAAATGTTGACAATAAGAAATTTGATTGTTTTTTGAAAAATATATGCCCATTTTGAATTTGATGGCACCATTCCAAAAAAGTTGGGACGGGGTCATGTTTACCACTGTGTTTCATCTCCTCTTCTTTTAACAACACTCTGTGTTTAGAACTGAGGAGACACTGCTGTAGTTTTGAAAGTGAAATGTTTTCCTGTTCTTGTTTGACAGGATTTCAGCTGCTCATCAGTTCAGGGTCTCCTTAGTCGTATTTTTCATTTCATAATGTGCCAAATGTTTTCAGAAGCTCACAGGTCTGGACAGCAGGCAGGGCAGTTTAGCACCCGGACTCTTTATACGGAGCAATGCTGTTGTAATACATGCAGAATGTGGTTTTACATTGTCTTGCTGAAATAAACAAGGCCTTCCCTGAAAAAGACGTCGTCTGGATGGCAGCATGTGTTGCCGAAATATGTATATATCATTCAGCATTAATGGTGCCCTCACAGATGTGCATGTCACCCATGCCATGTGCACTAATGCACCCCTATGACATCATGAATACTGAAACTGTGCACTGATTACAAGCTGGGTGGTCTTTAGCCCGGAGGACACAGTGTCCATGATTTCCAAAAAGAATTTCAAATGTTGATTCGTCGGACCACAGGACACTTTTCCACTTCCCCTCAGTCCATTTTAAATGAGCTTGGGCCCAGAGAAGGTGGCAGCATTTCTGGATCCTTTTTATGTACAGTTTCTTCTTTGCATTTTAGAGTTTTAACCTGCGTTTGTGGATGCAGCGATGAACAGTTTACAAAGACAGTTTTTTTTAAGAAGTTTTCTGAGCCCATGAAGTGATTTTTCACTACAGAATCATGTCTGTTTTTAATGCAGTGCCATCTGAGGGCCCAAAGATCACAGCCAGCAAATACTGGTTTTTGGTCTTGTCCCTTGCATACAGAGATTTCTCCAGATTCTCTGAATCTTATATAAGCACACCTGCTGAGCATAAAATATCAGGTAGAATGTAAAATGTAAGATCTCGTCTTGCTCCGTCCTTGTCTTTTTCTGCTTCAACCTTTGTTTACTTTTTCACCCATGTGTGTTTGATTATTTCAGCCATGTGCTTTTGTTCTTCTTTCGGTCTTCATCTCCTCCCTGGTCCTGCCTTCTTGTTATCTGTTTCACCTGTCTGTTGTCTGTAGCCCCACCCTCTTATTAGTCCTAGGTTTTTCTAGTCTGCTTCATGTGTATTTATACCTTTGCCTGTGTGCTTTGTGTTTTGTTCTCTCAGGAACTGTCGGTTATCTCCTGTTTGTTTCCTAGTTTTATTCATTTCTCTCTGTCTTTAGTTTTCTTTGTGTTTTAGTATTTGTTCAGTAGTATTTTTCAATTTGGTTGATACCTTTGTGCCCTGGACTTTTAGTAAAACCCAGGATTTGCACTTGCACTATATGTAGAGATGGAAGGAAATGTGAAGGACAGGGGCCAGTGGAGTTCTAAAGCTGAGTTTCTTCTTGCTGTGGCAGGACATATAGTGGGCATCGGCAATGCTTGGAGATTTCCCTACCTCTGCTACAAGAACGGAGGGGGTAAGAGCACATCTGCCCATTGGCAGAAGGTGAGTGACACTGGATCACAGGTGAGTTAGTTATTTGTTAAAATATTGGAATATAGTACATTATCCTTTACATCAGAAGGGAAATCCAAGTATTCAAAGGCAGATGTGCTCACACTTCCCGAAAAACCCTTTATCACTATTCAGCTCTGCTTTTAGAGGGTGGGGGTTTGAGAGATTCAGTCCTTTAAATGATTGAATGATTAACACCTGACAAATTACATTAATTTGAATATGACAAAATGTCCCCCTTGGCTGTCTTCACATGCAAAATGTGCAATAACTTGCATAACTACAGTGGCAGATTAGAGCGATGAAAAAATATTAAATAACACGGAAGAAGTAAACGAATTGTACATTGTTGCTGCACTTTTGTGGAATATTACTTTACTTGAATATGCACTGACTGCCCACTTAAGTACATCTCCTTGTATCTACACTCTTTGTTTCTATCAGCTCTACTTACCATGTAGTTCTACAATTACTGTAGTCCATCTGTTTCTCTGCATGCTTTGACTCTTTCACCCTTCTTCAATGGTCAGGACCCCCACAGAGCAGGTATTATTTGGGTGGTACATCATTTTCATAAGTTCAGGAAACTCCAATTCCCAGAAGCCCTCGGGCTGATTAGGCCCAACCTGGCTCACCTGTGGACTCCTCTACTAAAGGCCGTGGTGAACAGCAGCCCTTTGTCACACCTTTGTAGAGGGGTGACTGGTACGGTACTTAGCCCAAGTGGTTATTTAAACAAAAAGAAAAGGAAAGGAAAAAGAAAAGAAGAAAACTAAAGAGAGAAATTGCCCCAAAATTACTTAAAAGCCCAAAAAGAAGGCTTAAACAATAAACAGCTCTAAGCCGAACAAAAAGTTTTTGCTCTTTGTGGATCAAACAGGTGAAACATAAAGCTGATCTTCCTCTCATAATCACAGAGGAAGTGGTTTTTCCCATCTTCACCTGTGCTTCCCGGTGGCACAGCGGTAACTCCTTGGACCGTGATCAGTACATCGGTGGTTTGAACCTGGCTCTGAGCCTCCTCAACTCCAACGTGCACAATCACCAAAATCACACTGCATCGCTTCAATAAATTCATTTAAGACCCTTTCTCACTGGTTTTCCTCTCTGCACTTGGGTCCGCCTCCCTGCCGTCCCATAACAGAAAACACATTTGGAAATGTAGCCTATGCAAACTGCAGCTATGTAGCCTTATAATCTGCCTTATCAAACTCCAGTTATTGACTTTAACCATTGCAGAGTTTAGTGTTTCCCCAAGTCATTAGTTTAATAATCAAGTGCAGACACTTTAAAGCACTAAACTGTATGAAATTAAAGTCTATCCTGGATTTTCATGTATAACCCATGTAAAACTACTGGAAATAATATTTAGATATCATAATGCCAAAGATAGCCCCATACTTTGTATGAATCAAATCTGTGCATCTTGATAAATTCCTTAAATTTTGTGTCTACTCCCTAAGACACTTGTGAGAAACTAGACTAGGACGCAGCAACTCATGCATATCTTTTATTAAATTCTTGTTCTGCCCACCTAGAGAAAACTAGTGATTAAAATAATGGATCACACCTTAGAATTCTTTCAGATCAGATGAACAGATGAGCAGTAGGCAGATGTGTTCGCGGAGTTCTTTTGTTAGTGGCTTCTATCAACATGTCTAAGTCATGTGGTGAACCTGAACAACACCAGAGTCATGTAGGGCAAGTAGTCTGAGGGCAAGGCTGGAACCATGGTGGCAATCAGGCATTTGTCCCACCACTTTTCACAGTATTGTGGCAATGACCCATCTGTTTCTGAGTTTGGTTCGTACACATAAAAACCCCCAATGACGGCATGAAGCGCTGACCAGCACAGACAGACATAGTAAAACTCAGCGGCAGAGCCAATCAGAATCTCCATTTCAGCTGGGAGGCGCTTTTAGACCTGCCTTCTTTTTGGCTTTTAAATAGTTTTGGGGCAATTTATTTATTTATTTATTTATTTATTTATTTATTTTGTTTATTTATTTTATTATTATTATTATTATTATTTTTTTTAGCCCTTTTGTTTCTTCCGGCCTGCTGTTTGCCAAAGCCTTAAGTAGAAGAGCCCACAGGTGTGCCAGGTTGGGCTTCTGGGAATTGGAGATCCCTGAACTTGTGGCGCCTTGCCACCGTTACCCTTTCCTGGCGGCCGGCTGCACAGCCTGGACCCTTACAGATTGTGTGACTCTGTTCTTCTCTTTTTGGGATTCTTTTG